CGAGTCACAAATGTTTTTAGTATTTTGTAAATAAATGTTGAGTATTATATTGCTTCCTCCACTTCCTACCCTTTTTCCATTTCACTAGATTTTTTGATGGCTGCCATCCTTCGTTTTTTGTCGTGCCTGTGCCCCTCTTGTGTTTTGTGTGTTGTGTTTACATATGACAGACCACAACCATGACTCGACTGTAAATTAGTTGTGTTGTGTGTGTGTGTGTGTAACAAGAGAGGTGAGAAGGCAGGGAACACAGCACAACACACAGTATTTTGTGTCGTTTTGTTTCCTGTGTGGCGCGGATAATAATGTAAAGTGGGGTGGGGTGGAGTGTGTTTGATATATTTTTATGGTTAGGTTCAATACTTTTTCTTTCTCATTTTGTTGTCTAGATTGTATGTATGTGCAAAACCGTGCAATTGCGCTTGGTGGATATAATCATTTGTGCCGTACCAACAAACAAGCAAACACACAGATCAACATGAATTTATTTGTCCATATACAATAAACAGAGAGTAACATAATCAGCATCGTCATCATCATCGGGATGATGATGATGAACAGTTATCGTTTGGATTTTTGTCTACTGATGCAGTAGCTCTTCTTCTTGGGTTAAGCTATTTTTTTGTATGTTTGTTATTGTTGTTGTTAATATATATTGCAATAAACCTTTGGGTATTTCGTTTGAGTACCAAACGAAGATTTTTGTAAATCCAAACGTGTGGCAAACACACTTTTCCCCCCGCTCCTATTCCTCCAGCAGCTGCTCTATATGTCTGTCTTCTCCTTTCTCTGTCCCAAACACAATCAAGCATACACTCATGCACTCTTTCTCTCTCACACACACACTCCTCCCTCGAATTCAAATTTTTGTATTTCATTTAAAAAATACTCTGTTGAGATATCATTTGCTAGCTCTTGTTTGTTCTTGTTCTTTTATATTTGGGTGAGTGTGGCTTATACCGTTGATAGGTATTTGCAAATGTTTGTTGGTGGGTGGTTGGGGAGAGCGGGAGGGAGGTGAATGGATGGTTGGAGAATTGTAAATGCCAAAATGTTTGGTGTGTGTGTGTGTGAATAAAAATTAGGGGTGCAAAAGAAATGGATATTTTACATTTTATATTCATTATTATATTGTTTTTGTTTTGTATTTTTATTTTCTCTACTCTCTGCTTCATTGTTTGTGCCTGCTTAATAAGGTTTTGAGCGCCATCATTATTAGTATTATAGTTGCTGTTGGTGGGCCATCAGTCTCTTAAGTCAAATGAAAAATGTCATCTGTTTCCCTTTTTTGTTTTTGTTAAAGGCAGGCAGCTGTAGTAACCACTAAGGAAAGGAAGAATAAGAATACATATTCCTTTCTTTTGATGGAATTTGCTCGCGCATATTTCCCTTTTTGAGGACAATTGCTTTGCAAAGCGCAATGAATAAAAAAGTAAAACAATGACTAGATAGGTGTATAACAAAAAAGAAAGATATCTATCACCTAAGATTTTTGGGTGGAGGAAAATTGCTATGCTTTTTCTTCTTCTTATTTTTGACAATAATATATGTTACAGGAAATGATAGTTGGAAATTGGTGTTTCGTTTTCTGGGGGTATTGTGGCATCACACACACAAACATAAATTTGCAAGACAAAAAATATATATTTGTTGTAAATTGCAACAACAACATGTGTGGTTAATTGTTGCAAAAAGGGATTCTTTTTTTATTGTGTTCCGGTTTTTTGACATATGTTTTTTTTGGCATCAGTTGTTATTTCTTCAGGTTTTATTTCGTTTTACTAATCCATCCAAACATTATTTGTCTGTGCGTGCTGTCACATTTAATTTCTCCCCCTTTTCTGTTTTGATGATTTATCTCTTTTTTTGTTGGTGTGTGTGTGTTTTTTATTTTATAAATATGGGGTTACAAAAAAATTAGAACATTTTAAGCACCCTCTTTGGAGTGCAAAATGCACACTGGTGTGTGTGTGCATGTGTTTTATTATTGGCACACATGTACATAAGTGTATAGGGTTTATTAATTGTATAGAGAGAGTGGGGAATTTAGTTGAGGTTATGTACATTGGTTACAGGGGTAAATATTTTTTTTGTAATTTAAAGCGGGGTGGTAATTAGTATAACGGCAATGATTGTGGAATACAAATTTTATAAAAATTGAATTCAAATTTTGAAATATGAAAATCGATAAACATACTTTTTTAATCTTAGTCGGGTATTTAATTTATGATTTTTAAATATTCGAGTTTTCAGATTAAATTTCATAATTAAAATTGAAAAAAAAATATAATTTAATCGGTTATTCCGTTTTTAGAAACGGTTAATCATATTTTTTTTTCAGAATTACATTGTTTTGTATTTTTGTTGTATTTTTAGATATTTAACGTACATGATATCTAGATTTGAAAACCCGATATTCGGTTTTTAAAACGGTTACCCATATTATTCCTACCTTCAGAATTGAAATATTTAAGCAATTCGATGACATTTTCAGCACTAGAGTTAGATATGTGCGATACGAAGGGAAAGGGATATTTATTTATTTTTTTAAAATAGAGTAATCGGTTTTTTTCGCGTATTCGGTTTTTATTTTCTTTTTTTAATCGAATACAACTATTTTAATTAAATATGTGTATTTTTAAATAAATTGATTTGCGATTTCGAACTCTATAGTGCCATATGCATATTTTTAAATCCGAATAAAAATATGATACCATCAGGTAATCGGATTTTTAGTAACGGTTACTTAGCGGTTTTTCACCTCATGACATGATTTTTGAGTTGACTTGGAATATTTATGAGCCTTTAGGCTGCTTATCGTTCTACATATTTGCGACTTAAAAGCGGGTTTTATGTTATCCGGTTTTTTATAATCAAATAGAACGATTTTTAGATTTAAATGTAAACAATTTTTAAATAAATTGATACAGTATAAACTTGATAATCCGGACCTCGACAATCCGGATTATTCGGTAATCCGGACTGCATTTCACAACCCATTGCGTATCCTATAATCCGGATTGATTGACCCATTTGACTCAAAAATCCGGACTGTAAAGATACGTTACTTTTTATTTTAATAAAAAAATCGTTGCAAATTTAATTGAAAATGGTACCTATAATATTCAATGTTCATTTTTGAAATGAATAATTTTCATTTTTAATAAAAACATAAAAATAATTAAATTATCACCAAATTAATATAAATTTAAACCAATTAATAAAACTCGATAATCCGGAAATCTCGGTAATCCGGATTGGGGTCTACAATCAATTATCCGGATTAGCGAGTTTTTACTGTATTTGAATATCTAAAGAAGCATTTGCATTTTTTTACATTCGAATATAAATTTATAAATATCGGGGTTTTGACTCCATGATATCAATTTTAAACTGGCTACATATTTGTGATTTTAATGCGGGTATTCGGGTTTTTCGTCCGGCTACCGATATGTTTAAACAATGAAATTGAAATTTAAATTTTTTTATAGAAAACAATTTTCTAAAGAAAAAAATCCAATAGGAATTAATTTTTCTATAGAAAACATCCAATAGGAATTCATTTTTCTATAGAAAAAATCCAATAGGAATTCATTTTTCTATAGAAAAAATCCTAAACCAATGGGAATTCATTTTCCTATAGAAAAAATCTCATTCGAATTATTTTTTCTATAGAAAAAAAAAAAAATTTCTTCAAAAAAATTTTATAGAACAAAAAAATTCTATATAAAAAATGTTTTTTTTTTCATTCTCAATAAAATTTTTCATAGAAAAAAATTGTTGATATTCGGGACTATTTTTTTTTAGGAAAAAATAGTCCTTTGGACTATTTCGTAGGCTTCTCTCAATTCAATTTTTTTAGTCACATTTTTGGTCCTCGAGACAAATTTTTTTATGAAAAAATCGTCCTCTGCAATAAGTTTTTCTTTATTTTCAAAACTATTTTTTATAGAAAAACAAATATTTGGCTCCACTCAATTCTATTTTTTTCATAGAAAACAATTGTCGGCCCTAAAAAAGTCCTCTTGACTATTTTTTTTACGAAAAAATCGTAGGCTTCTCTCAATTAAATTTTTTTTGGGAAAAAGTTTATTTTTTTAATGAAGAAATCGACCTCGTATGACCATGGGACTAATTTCTTTTCTTTTGGAAAAAAATCATAAGCCCTCAAAAAAATTGTCAATTTGCCTAAGGATTTTTTACAAAAATATATTTTATAATTTTTTTTTTACATCGTTACACCCTAATACATCCCTAACCTTAACATTAAATTTACATATGTAGTTGAAAATAGTGGTTCATAAAAGTACGAACCAAACACACACACAAAAGGACATTACCTTAATTGTAATTAGTATTTTTGTTTCTAGAACGAAAGGAACTTTTCACTCAGCGACGGCGACCCTCTCGCCGGTCCCGTATTGCGAACCAAGAAAATATATAATTTATCCCACAATTATACAAAAATGTGACAAGTTATTGATTTTTTTATTTCAATTGCAAAGGTGTTTAGATTGTTGTTGTGTTTATTTGTGAGATACAACAACAACAAAAAGGCTACACTTTGTTGAAAAAAATTGACTATTGATTTTTGTTGTTATAATTGTAATTTAATGTGGCTGCTGGTTGGGGGTGACCTTTTGTATTTTTTTCTTCTATATTGTGGGATTTTTACATATCGTACCGTTTAATTGAATATTTTTTGTATATTGAAAATGTGTGATATAGAAGATTTTTATTATGGAAGAAAGAGGGATATACTCCTCTCTAATCCTTATTTTCTTCCATTTTCTCTCATATATGCCACTTTTTTTCGCGGTTTAATAAACCTAACCTCAATTTATTTAACCTAACCTCAATTTTCATGCATATCATTCTTTATTTTAGAAATTTCTTTTACAAAACTTTATTTTACTATTTTTTTTAATTATCATTTGTAAATCTCAATCTACTCTTTTGAATCGCAAATTAATTCCCTGTTTTATTTTTTCGTCTTTTAGAAAATGGAACGTCAAGGCAAAATGGAAATGGTTGCTAAAGAACGTGAAATGCAACGCCTGCAGTGTATCCCCAAAAAATGGAATCGTCGTGAGGAATATGAATTTTTACGTGTCCTCACCGGTTATGGTGTAGATTTCCTTCCAGCCTCCGCCTTGGCACCAGGCACAACAACTGCCACGCCCACTGCTCTCCTGCCCGATTGGACAAAATTCAAACAAATGGCCCATCTAGAGCGGAAGAGTGATGAAACCATGAGTGATTACTATAAGGTATTCATTACAATGTGTAAACGACAGGCGGGAGTTAAGCTAAGCGAAAATGAAAAAGGTCTCGAGGGTATTATTGAGGATATAAGTGAGGATCATGCCAAATTGATATTGGATCGTTTGGAATTACTATCGAAATTGCGAGAAATTGCCAAACATCCACAATTGGAGGAACGTCTGAAATTGTGTATGGTGAATGCAGACACGCCAGATTGGTGGGAGCCCGGAAAACATGATAAAGAATTGGTGGCTGCCGTTCTAAAACATGGCCTTTACCGGTCCGAGACATTTATCTTTAACGATCACACATTCTCATTTGCCGATTCGGAAAAACGTTTCATACGCGAATTGGAGGCACAAATTCAACGCTCCATTAAACTGGAAGCCATGAATGCCGAGAAACTCTCCTCCACGGTTAAAGATGAAATTATCGATTTGGATGATGAACTGCTGACCAAGAGTAGTTTAATTAAAAAGGAAAACTATTCGCCCTTGAAGAGTGAGGTTAAATCGGAACCCAAAGATGTCAAGGTGGAACAGGCGGCAGAGGAGGAGTGTAAAAAAGAAACCACCTCTGAAGAATCTAAAGAAGACAAATCCCAAGACTTATCTGTGAAAAAGTCGCCAATTAAAGAGGACATTGAGTGTCAAGATTTAACAAAAGACGATGATGATGACGATGATTTGCCTTTGGCTTTGGAAAAATCAAAGGATAAACTTAAGGAAGCAGAAAAAGAAGAAGAAACTGCTAACAACACCACTGCCATGGAAACAGATAAAGAATCTCCCAAGAAGAAGGAAGCTGACAAGGATGCAGCTGCTGATGAAGCCGCCGTCATGGATGTTGAGGAACAAGATTTGTCAACAAAACCTAAAAAAGAAACCGAAGCAGAAGCAGCAGAAGCCTCTTCATCAGCTGAAGAAAAATCCAAGGAAAGGGAAAAAGAAGAAGAAGAAAAAGATAAATCTTTAGATGAACAATCAAACAAAGAAGAAGAAACAAAAACGGATGAAGAATCCACAGAAAAGGTTGAAAAGAAATCCGAAGAAGAAAAAGAAGAAGAAGGTGAGGGTGAAAAAGAAAAGGTTGCTACTTCTGAAACAGAAAAATCACCTGCCGAAAAAGAAACCAAGGAAGAAAAACCCGAAGAAGATAAAACAGAAAATAAAGAAAAGCCAAGCGAAAAATCCGCACAAGAAGATGAAATCTTAGATTTGGCAACAGCCACAAGTGGTTCCAACGATCCCGACGATGAAGAAGTCATGAAAGAAAAAGAAAAGGCCGTCGAGGAAGAATGCAATAAACAGGCGGCCGAACTTAAGGCACGTTTCCCCGACTTGGAAGTTATACAACCAGGCGCGGCCAAACAAAAACTCGAAAAACCCAAATTGGAAATGTGTATGATTCGTTGGTTTAAAGATTTCGCCTTGGAACGGCGTATCTGTCACATTGTCACTTGTGTTGAAACTGGCAAATGGCCAGTGGATAAAAGCTATTCAGCATTGGCTGGTTGCAAGGATATGGATTTGAAGATTGCCCTGCACGATGCCATTCCCCATTTGAGTGTGGCCGTAGAGAAACGTTCTACAACACCCGATGTTATTACAATTACCACCGATCAAGGTGTTACCAAACATTTACCCACATCCCAAGTGCAACAACAAGTTGCAACGGCTGCGTCGGCAGCAGCAGTGGTGGCACCCCCACCACCCATTTCAGCTCCTCCGGCACCAATACCCATAACACCGCCAGTGATGACATCGAACACCATAACAACACCAAAAATGTCATCCACCACCCCGACGGCATCAAGTATTTCCTCTGCAGCTGCGGCGGCGGCAGCAGCAGCTGCTGGTCTCTCCGGTCTGGATGCCAATACCCTAAATGCTGCAATGGCAGCTGCTGTGGCAGCAGCTGGTGGCAATGCCAGTGCATTGAGTGCCCTACTACCAGGCATGTCATTGACAGCCCTTTCTGGCCTCACCATACCCAATGCAAGTGGAGGAAATTCAGGATCGGCAGCCACAGCGAATACCTCGCAAACTACAACTTCGGGCGGCAAGAAACGTAAGCGACACATTGCCATTGATGTGGAAACGGAACGAGCCAAGCTACATGCCTTACTCAACAGTTCTCAATCATGTAAGTAGTATTAAAAATTTTAAACTTTTTTTAAATTTCATTGAATTTAATGAAATGTTGGCCTTGTTTCAGTAGCTGCTAAAGATTGGGAAACCGAAATTGCAAATATGGCTGCCGCTGCTGCCTCGGGAGCTGTCACTGTTGGTGGTAGTTCGTCAAGGCGTTCATCATCGGCTGCTTCGCCTGCGGCTAATTCCTCATTGGCCTCGGCATTACAACCACCGCCGGCCCATCAACATGCTCCCTTGAGTCGTCAGACATCGGGACAATTTAATAAGCCCGCAGTGCCACCTCTAAAGACACCACCACCATCATCGATGGGCGGTGCCATGGATTTGTCATCAAGGTAAGTTAAAGAAGAAGAAAAATTAGTTTACAAAAAAGGTTGAGCTCCTCCTCCTAAAAATCAACCAATCTAAAAGTTCTTTGAAGCAAATTTTTGTTTTTAAATCTACTCCATATACAGACATTGAAAAAATGTACACCTTTTACAGACCTTGCAAAAATATTCCTTGAAAAATCCGCGTATCCTTGTCATTTCAAAATTAATAATTTTTATTTTTTCCTCATTACAGCTTGCCAAAAATGAACATGGCCGACATCATGAAATCAGCCTCAGCTGGAGCAATTGATTTGAGTGAGGTACAAGATTTTTCAATGGGTTCCAAGAAATCATCGAACTCACAAGCCTCTGCATCGAGTATACATGCTGCTTTGAGTTCAGCATTCCCCTCAATGGCCAGCAAAGGTGGTGGCAAATTAGATGATACCCTCAATAAGCTAATGAAGAAGAACAATTGTGTAAGTGGAACCCTAACAAATTACCCAAAACAAAATTGAGTTATATTTTAAAATTGTTTTTTAATATTTCTCCCATATCTTCTCTTTGCAGACCATTGAAGAACCCGTTGTTGGCAAAGAAAAGAAACGCAAAAAGTTGGATGAAATTGTTTTGGGTCTATCGGCGGCAAAGGAACAAAAAACCTTCCCCGATCCATCACTGCCATCGTCAAAGAAACCTCAAATACCACCAAGTGTATCGGTGACACCGGCCAATGCTGCATCGGCCATGTCATCGCAACAGCAACAAAATCAAAAACCATTTACAATCACTGTTACCACAGTGCCCGGAAGTGAGTTTGAGTCTCTGAGCTTTATATTTGTCTTAAGATTGATGTGTGTGTGTGTGGGGGGAGATTTTCTATATTCCCTCCCCCTCCCCTTTTAACATTTTATTAACATTTTTCCATTTTTCTTCTTTTGCTTTTCTTAATTCTATCTCCCTTAGAAGGAAAAGGCAGTTCTCAATCTGCTAGCCAATCATCTGGCAATTCATCCAGTTCTGGTTTATCGGCTCTACAGAATATGGCTGGTATGGGTAGTCTATCGGCCAAGGATAGTTTGAATGCTTTATTGGCCCAGACCATGGCCACCGATCCACAAACCTTTATCAAACAACAACAGAAAATGATGCAATGTTTACCACCTGCCCAGCGTAAATTATACGAAAGCATGTTGGCTGACATGGAACAGGCCATGAAAATGAAGTAAGTTTTTCCGAATTTTTTGTTTAGAATTTTATCAATAATTCCCCCTTTTTCTCCCTCTCCTTGCAGCACCAAATATGGCGGACCCATGGACACCAAGGTCGACAAATGGCTAACGGACATGAGTGCACCCTCAATGGATTATCCCGGCAGCAGTGTTAGCAGTAATCCCACACCAACATCCAGTGGCCGAAGATCGAATCGTCAATCATCTTCCACACCAACTCAGCAATCGCTGTCTGCTTCACAAATGTCCTCTTCGAAATCATCTGCCTCTCAATCACACAGCCAATCGGCAAGTGTTCAACAGCAGCAACACCAGCAGCAATCAATGGGTGGACCACCACCTGGTTTAACCGGAGATGAACCAGTGCCGGTGATTAACAAACAAACAGGCAAACGCCTATCCGGCAATAAGGCCCCACAATTAAAGAGATTAATGCAATGGTAAGTCCATCAGCATCCACCTCACGCTAAAATTACCAATTCAATCATTTGTCTTTCCTCCCTCTTTCCAGGCTAACGGAAAATCCCAACTATGAAGTTGATCCCAAATGGTTGGAACAAATGCAAAATCCCATGTCTGCACCCTCACCCAAACCAATGGAATCAAGCTATTCCAATTCAAGCAAAAGCCACACTGGTCGCCCATCGTCAACGTCTAGCAATGCCTCTTCCAACAGTCATTCCAATGCCCAACAACAATCCCAATCAACACCCACTTCAAGCTCATCGAAAAAATCTTCACGGCAAAGTGCCATGGAGCAGGCTAACGCTGCTGCCATGCAACAATTCGGATCATTGGCTGGTTTAAATCCTAATCTCTTGGCCAGTCTGCCAGGTTTGGGATCTTTTGATCCTAAGAATCCTTTGGCTGCATTTGATCCTAAGAACCCTCTGCTCTCCATGCCTTTCGCCGGAATGCCCGGTATGGGCAACATACCCGGTTTGGGTAATCTCAACAATATGAATTTGTTTGCCAGTCTGGCTGGCATGGGTGGCTTGGGCAATTTGGCTAGCATGGATGCTCAATCGTTGGCCACTTTGATGGCCGCAGCTGGACCTGCATTAAGTGGCTTAGGAGGTATGCCGGGATCGTCGTCTTCATCGAGTGGCGGCGGTTCATCGAGTAAGAATTCTGGACAAGGTTCAGGCTCATCAAATTCGAATAAGAAACCCACTAAAGCTGAACTGTTGCAACAAAATGCAGCCGCTGCTGCGGTGGCTGCAGCTGCATTGGGAGCTTCTGCACTATCAACTGGCAATTCCGGTTCTGGCTCCAATTCCAAAAATTCCGGACCAAGTGCTTCGCAATTGGCTGCTGGCTTCCCATTCCTTTTCGGCAATCCCTCTCTGCTGTATCCTCCCATGGGTATGAGTGGTTTAAATCCCTACTCCTTGGGTTCTACTGGTCTGGGATCATCGGGTTTGGGAGCCGCCTACGATCAATTGGCTCAACAATATCTAATGAATGGCGCCTCCTCGGCGGGCTCCACCTCTACCACCCAAACGAAGGCTCATCAATCGCAATCCTCAAAATCCTCCAATTCCCGATCGTCTTCATCATCCTCCAATGCTGCATCGGCCCAAGCGGCCCAAGCTGCAAATCTTATGAATGCCATGGCTGCCAGTATGGCTGGATCTTCAAATACAGGATCCAGTAGCTCACAAAGCAGTTCTCGTGGTCGTCAATCGTCTGCCAGCAGAGCTGCGGCTCAAGCATCCGCTGAAATGGCACAATTATCCAGTCTCCTTATGCCACCCGCCGATGCCCAGCTTCTGGAACAATTCTCACGTATGACCAATATGGATTTGGCTCAAGCCACACGCCTGATGAACTCTCTGGGTATGCCACCAATTTCGGGAGCCAATACACCATCTTCATCCACCGTTAGTGATAAGAGATCATCCTCGTCCAGTTCTTCAGCCAATGCTGCAGCTGTGGCCGCCCAACAAGCCGCCAAGGAACAACAAAAACTAATGGAAGCTTTGGCGCGTGGTCAATTGCCAACCGATTTGGCAACGTTGCAGGCCTTGTCGCAGGGTAAATTGCCACCCTCCATGACAGGTTCGGGATCGGGATCATCATCCAATACGAATTCATCTTCCAACAATTCATCGTCGAGTAAAAGTGCGAAATCGGCGGCGGCTGCGGCAGCCGCTGCAGCTGCTGCATCATTGCCGCAAATACCTGGAATGCCTGCCGATTTTAGTCAAGCATTCCTGGCTGAGATGGCAGCACAAGCCATGGCTGCAGCAGGTGGTCCCTTACCATTGACCGGCCCCGGTTCCTTAGCCAGTTTAACAGGCAGTTTGGCCGGTTTGACGGGAGGCTCATCGACGCAATCAACATCTTCCTCGTCGGCGGTGACTTCATCGTCGTCATCATCGAAACGACAACGGGAACAAGATGCACTAGCCAAAGATGCCTTCCAGAAACAAATGGACTATTATACCAAAACATTGGGCTTGGGTTCGGGCATATCACTGATACCCACATCGGCGGCATCATCAGCACCATCGTATGGCGGCGATGATCATCACAACAAGTCAAAGAGGCAAAGAACTGAAACATCAACATCATCGCTCAAGGATGATTTGAATGCTGCTGCGGCCTTGGCTGCAGCTGGATTTCCAATGAATTTGGGTGGTGGTATGACGAGCATAGAGAAGAGCATACGTGGTGGAGGCGGCAGTAGTAGTGGTATGGGTGGTGGCGGCGGGTCTTCCTCTGGACCATCTGGTGGCGAAGCGGATAAGGTCACTTTGACGCCACTGAATTCGACTGGTATTGCAGCCAATTTACCCTCTCAAACCACCATAACCATTGCCCCACCAATTAGTTCCGGAGCCAGTTCCAGTAGTGAACGTTCCGAACGCAGCGAGTCGAGAATTTCACTGACCATAACAAATGCTGCGGAAGCTGCTAAAATGCCACCTCCCTATGAAGAAGCCGACGAACTGATTATACAACCAATACTCAAAAAACCGACGAATCAGCAACCAAGTCCATCTGCCAATTCGTCGTCGCACAGCAATTCTCAAGCGCAACCAGCACCACCACAACAATCCTCCTCTCAAGCACCCACCTCACAGGCGGCGAATTCGTCGGGGGCCAGCTCCCTGCACGGTGGCAGTGTGGAAGATTTGACACATGATTCGGCCAATAATAGTGGATCGTCGCAATGCGAAGAGACGCGCCGGTCATCGGGTAGACTAAAACGTCCTCGCTCGGGTGCCGATCATTCGCTGATATCCGAACAACCGCCAGAAAAACGACGTGAGCTGCGTTCAACACGCCACACCCGACAATCGTCGTCGGGCAGTGCCGATAATTCGTTGAATCTATCAACGAACAGTGAAACGGACGAGAGGCCGGAATGAGGTTTAAGGCGTTTACTACGGAGTAAATCCATAAATAAATAGTAGGAAGGATAGCACACACACTCACACAACAAATTACAACTACACTCTCTCTCAGCTATATGGGGAAGAAAAGAGATATATGAATGATGGGAAAACAAAAAAATAAATCGAAACCGAATATTGTAAATGTACGCGTATGAGAAGAAGAAGAGATAATGAGCGCAAGCAAGAGAAGACACAAAGCAAATGCAATTGCATGTTGAAAACTTGGTAAATGAGATTCGAAGAAAGGAGAGAAGAGAACAAAAAGAAGATAAAAAAATTAATTGTGAAATTTTAAATTTCATGAAATTTGATTTGATTTGAACCGGGTTTTTTATATGGAGAGGTGCCACCACTTCAAAAACAACCAGGATTCTCTCAATGTCTCCAACAATTTTAAATGTAAAGAAAAGTGATTTGAATTTCATTTGTGAATTTTCAACATTCATTTGTATTGGCATTGGTTAAAGAGCGCCAACAACTGCTGCTTAGTAGCAAAATAATAAATTAAAAAAAAAAAATAAATATTAATAATAATAATTATAATTAGTGTAGGCTATAAAATATAGAGAAGGGAGAGAGAGAGAGAGAACACATCCCTCTCTCTTTCTATCAAAACATCAAATACAACAACAGTAAACTGATTAAAAGTGAGTTTAGTTTTAAATTTAAGCTATAACAATTAAATAGTTATTAAACAATTAAAAAAAATGAAAGCAAAAAAACACACAAAAAAAGTTTTAAAATTTTTATGCTAAAATAGAAAAAAACAACAACATCATAAAATTATTATTTTTTTAATTTTGTAAAATATAAGCTTAATTTTAGTTTTATTTTTTAGTAGTAATTTTATTCGTTTTATAAAAAAAACAACAACACAACCCGACTACAATACAAACAAAGCCCCAAACTCCATTTTTAAAATATATTTTAGCAATTTTTTGTGTTTTATAGAGAAAACAAACAACAATAACAAAGAAGAAAACCCCTTAAATGATATTCGATCTAGGGCAATTTGGGGGAAAAAATCTTTGCTAGAGATTCCGAAAAGTGTGTTTTCAAAAAGTGTTTTTGTGTATAGAAACCAAAAAACGACAAACTCTAAAATTTGTCTTTGGTTTATCTGCTGCTGTTTTATAAAAAAAACCAAAGACTTGATTTAGAATTTGACTTTTTTGGAAATATACAAAAACACCTCGTAAAACATTTTCTCCCAATCTCTTTTTTATCAACCATTGAGTTGAAGAGGAATTGTAAAAAAAGAAGAATTTAAATCTACAATACCCATCAATAACAAAAAATGCAATTTCTTAGTGTTATGATTCCCCTCACCCCTAAAACCCAAATTTTGCTGCTGTGGTTTAACAATAACATCATTGGAATCATAGCACTGGAATTGTATTTTTTTAACGTTTGTTATTAGTTGGTATTGTTGTAATTTGCATGAGTTTCTGTTTTTGTAACATTTATTTTCCTCCGCATCAACTCATCTTCCTTTGTTTTTTTTATAATAAACAAGCAAACATATTTTTTTACTATATAATAACAAACACACTCATATAAATATATACATATTATTCTATACTATACTATATATTTTTTTTTAAATAATAAATTGATTATACTATTTCGTATTTATTCGATTTCCACTTGTAAAATTTTTATCACATCTATATATAAATATAGTTTTTCTTATAAAGTAAACAACAACAACAAATATAATGTAACTATATAATAAACAAAAAACAACAACAAACAAAAAAGCTTATTTTCATATATAACAAATGAAATGAAAAAAAAAACAAACACACAAATTCTTCTTATTTTTTTGATCGAATTTCCAAACAAAAATATTTTTGGAGAAGGGAATGTGGGGAAGGAGGAGGGTAGGTACATTAGTTTTCTAATATGAATGTGGTTTAAAAAATGTTTTGGATTACATTTTGTATTACGTTTCAATACTGTTCCCATACTTTATGAGCTCTGTGCATAGTTGAATAAAAATTAATTTTAAATATTTATTGTAGCGTCGCCTGATTTTTTCTTCTTCTGAGACTCATTTCCCAGGTTGCAAAGATTTCACATCTTGATACCATCAACAGTGAACGGAGATGACACACAGCAACTCTAGATTTGGATATCATTGTCAAGGTGGTTAACAGAAATAAGATACGCAAAACATTCAAACCATATAAATGGAATCACACCGGCGATGCTTCAATTTGCCTCGCCAAGTATATATATGATCCTTAAGAAGATCTATACGGCGTGTTTGACTCTCTCGTGCGTTCCGGGTATATGGATCGAGGGTTAAAGGTTACTTACATTCCTAAAGCGTGTACACCAAGCCACTCTGCACCAAAGGACTATAGACCAATTAGCCTACCATACTTTCTCCTCAAGACTCTCGAAATACTGATCATCAACTGAACCACCACTCTCTTAGCAATTCACAACACGCATACATAAAGGGCAAGTCTGTAGGATCTGCACTGCACTAGGTGGTAAGTTATATTGAGAGGAATATGGAAAATTCAAACTTTATGCTGGCCGCTTTCCTAGATATAGAGGGAGGGCCTTTAACCAACGTTAAACATGAGTCCGTAAAATGCTAAACAGCAAATTTATTAATTCAAATTTGGGGGATACAAAAATCAGAAAACAGTAACTAGTGGCACCCCTCAGCAGCTTTGAACGTAATGCTGAACTTAAGGCCTCTGGACCTCAGCGTTAAGTTCAGGCCGCGCATAGTGCCCTAAGGCAGTATGAACAAAATCTTTGGCGAAGTTGTACCTTTGGGCATGGTTGTATTTTGAACGAACCAGGTATGTCATTGGACCAACGCGTAAAACTATGCGACTATATATCACCAGTCCTGAGATTTGACGATGTTATTCCTAGTAAAGACAGACGAATCCAAGATGGAAGAAGGTACATGGGGCGGGGCTGGCGTCTACTGTGAATGATAGGCCTTGAACGTACCTACAAGCTAGATAGCAACTGTAGCGTTTCCCAAGCTGAAGTCTTCGCTATTTGGAAGGCAGCGGGATTGTTAAAAAGTCTGGATGCAAATATCGTTGACTATCTTTGTGGATAGTCAAGCGGCTCTTAAAGCCATCAAATCAGAGGCCGTCTTCAAGTGTAGAACAATTTTGGAAGAACCTACCTACAGCTATCGACTGTATTGGGTACCAGGACACCATGGGTAATGAAAGGGCAGACGAATTAGCTAGAAGAGAATCTCAATCTCCCCCCATAGATCTCTCCATGTCTTTTTCTTTTCGTGGATGATCACAATGGCAATGGAGTCCGCCGGCCACCATGACTCTTATTTATTCGGCATTTTGGGGAGTTTGGGCTCGATTTCTATACGAATAGACTGTAATTTGGTAATTTTATTGTAGACAAGGTATCAAATCATCCTTCCAAAAATGATCATTATTGGTCCATTTTATATGGCAGCACCCCCTATTATTTGGTGTCTGGGTAAGTTTGGACATTATTTTTGGACATGAATGAGCATTATATAGCAAATCTTCCTATCAAAAATTATCAATATGGGGTCACTTTTTGGTATAGACCCCATATAAAGGAACCCTCTATTATTTGCTATTTTGGCACTGCTGCCAATCGGCCAATTGTCGGATGTGGCTGCAGAAGCGCGAAATAAACCTTTTTTTTCAAGAAAAAAATTTCATGGGAAGGAATGCAACATTCTGTAGGGATGAAAATGGAAACCTGATGACAGATACAGACAACGTGTTGAGGATCTTGAAGGAGCATTTTGAAAAGCTTCTGGTATCAAATAATGGCGTGAGGAAGATACCGCAAAACCAATAAGAGATGACGGTATGGAGTGTATATCACCCATCCAAAATGCGGTTAGCAACAGGTGCCGATTGTTGGACCACCGAATTATTCAAGACCGGTGGTCAGATGCTGGTCAGGAGCAGGAGCATGCACTACCAGATTATTACAATTTTGACTAGAAGAATGTAAGCCCAATGATTTGAACCACAGCATTCTGTGTCCCCTGCACAAATAAGCAGACAAGACAAGATATGTATGTACCAACTATAGAGGAATAGTTCTTCTTGCTGTGCTGTCTAAAGTGATGTCTAGCGTGCTGTATGAACGACTGAAGCCAATGGTCAATGACAATATTGGACCATACCAATGCAGCTTCAGGCCTGGCAAATTCACCATTGACCAGATTTTCATTCTGCGCCAAATCTTGAAAATTTTCCAATTCTATAATAATGATCAATATTTAAGATATCTGATTAAAGATCTTTTTATGTCGACACAAAAATTACTTAAAAGGCTGTGGAAGGCAAGTTTGATTTTTAAATAGTATTGGCTGAATTTTTAATAATTTTTTATATAATAAACAAATATTGTTCATATGTTGTATTAACTATTGTTTAAAAAGAAAATTCTATGCATTGGAAAGTAATACCTTTGACCTTTACAGACCCTCCCCATTCCCAAAAAAAAACATATTTCAAATACATACAAAAATTATGTTTAAAACCCAATCAACAACAAAAATAGAATTTATCTTAAATATATAAGAAACTAATTATATCAAAAAAAGTAATAAATTTAATAAAATTGTTGCTGCATAAAATCATAATGATATACATATATAACATACATACAAAACAGAAGAGTTTATAAATAAGTATTGCAAATAGAATATTGGAAGAAAATATAATTTTTTTTAAAGTCCATTTCTAAATCATGTTTTTGAGAAATTTTAATTTTCTTTTTATTACACAATAAAAACAGAATACAAAAAATTACTATTTAAATTTAAGTATGATTTGTACGATTAACAATTATGAAATATCTTATTAATAATAGAAGAACAGAAACTCCAACAAAAAAATAAAAATGTATATATATTTAAATTATATATACAAAGAAAAAAATTAAAAAAAAATCGAAAAAAATACTGAAAAATAAAAAACTCTTGCATTTTATTGTACAGTTTTATTTGTGGTTTCGATGATTTGGTATTATTAAAATGTTGAAAACATGGGGATTTGGGTACTAGAAGGAATGGACCGATAAATCCTATTTTAAGTCACTTAGAATATTAAAAAAATAAACAAAAAAGTGAGTAAAAGTTTTAGAAAAATCTACGCTCTAATAGCACTTTAAAAACATAACTATTTAAAATCCTTGAAAAACATATTCTTCGATATATTGAAGATTTCGTGGTGCTCGGAATAAACATATTTTTAAAAAATCTTTTTTTCATATTGCCATAAAAATTAAATAAATCAAATCAAGTTTCAATACCTTTGGAAAAATGTTATTTTAAAAATGCTTGGAAAAATAATAACGCTCCATGAAAAATATGCCTTTTTTGACAACCCTTAGCCACGTTATGATAGTGGTACATCAGAACGTGAAAAATTAAAAAAATTAAAAAAAACTTATTTATGTGTGGGTGTGTGTGTAAGAAGCTATCCGTTTAATTATTTTTTCCCATTTAAATTATGAATTATTTACGAATCGAGGAATCAAAACAAAAAAAGAGTTAGGTCGGCGCAACATAAGAACAGCTGAGAACACACGTCAATTAGTCGTGACGTACCGCAACGTAGACATAATTGAACATGTTTAACAAGCGTAAGTCTGCTTTTCCACAGGCAGATTTTTATTTGGCAAATTTTTTTGTTTTCTCTTTTGAAATTTTCGCTTGCTTTTCCATTAGCAAATTTTTCTTTGCCAAATTTGCGAATCAAAATACAAAAGAAAGAAAATAAAAGTCAAAAGTGTTTGCATTTTAAAGATTTTTTTTTAATATTTTATTTATTTTTTATATATTTTATTATATAAATTGCAAAAATTAAATTTCACTTGCACAAAGCAATAGCTTCTGGGGAGGGAACTAAGGTTGTTGTATTTTGTGGTTGTTGTATTTTGTGGTTGTTGTATTTTCGATAACACATAACACTTAGCCCTTAACGCTGTGAATAGCTTTAATTATGCATTACTGCGAACCCACCTTGCAAGCAATTGATGTGAATACCCCTAAAATGACATTAGCGTGAACCCTGCTTGTTCCCATTGTATTTGGTTGACTAACGGAATTTTTTGTTATAACGTCAAATCTCATTTCGGTTCGTTCGCTTGAGAATTGTCTAATAAATAGTAAATTTATTCCTTAAAATTAAAAAAAAAATAATAATACATAATTATAAATATGTAAATTATAAATAATTTAAGGAAATTCTATCGTTTATGCGTGCAGTAAACGCAACTCCTCATACAGAAGCTTCAATTTGCCAAGTGGCGGTCAAACTAAACCAAACAAGCAAAATATTCATGATAAATTGTGTCGATTTGTGTATTTTTCGGTTTCGGTACGTTGTGTTTTAGAGATTATGGGCGGGAAATGCAAATAATTTGTGGTGAAGTGGCGATTGTGTTTTAGTGTACAATATGTCTCCGATGTTTCCGCAAAATTTGTTTTAATCGCTTTGGTTTCGGCATATACATGCATAAGTGATTTACATTGCGCGAGTGATAAACCAATACAGTATTTTTCGGTTAATTGACCCTACGGTTAATTGATTTCCACGCTTAATTGAACCACATGATGGGTCAAAAATATTTCATTTCATAGTAAGTGGGTTCGGAAAGAAAATTACCAAAAATGCAAATTTTGATGTGCAATTAACCGAAAAATACTGTATTTTCAATTCCAAATTAAGGCGAAAAGAAAATTTACCAAAAATGAATGTGCAATTCTGTCGTTTTTCGAGCGTTTCGCAAGTGTTATGCACATATTCCAAGTTCCAAATCTATGCATATTTTTCTTCCAATATATATAATTAGAGTAAGTTTTTATAAATAGAAAATTAGTTTGCCTACATAACTTTTTTGTTTTTGTTGTTGCAGGGTGATCTATCGACTGAAAATTGTGTTCAAATTAAACCCGTTTTTTTTAATAGTCATGAAAAAGCCTATATCCCTGTGAAAGGTAAGCATTGTATGTCTTTATCGAATTTAGAAAACTCACAGAAGTATAGTCGATCGACATCTGAGACTTAAACGTGAAACTAGCCGGTGAACTGTTGCCGAAAAAAGCTGTGACTTGGAATATCGGGTTTTTGGAAGCTAACAGAAATATAACAATTCAGGTCCATGTTTTAACATAGGTAAAAGCTTTTATATACATACTGGGATACACTGTGGTACAGGGTATTATATTTTTGTGCATATGTTTGTAACGAGATGGACCCATACTTCTTATTGAGAATATTCATAGAATCACTTTCGAAGTCGATTTATGCATGTCAGTTCGTTCGTTCGTCCGTCAGTATGTCTATATTAAATTGTAAACAAAGTACCCTATTGAAATTGGCAAATATAGCTCCCATATATATTTTCACCCGATTTTATGTAAATGGTGCACCAAAGTCCCTATATATCTTTCCATTTGCACGAAATTTGACACAGCGTACTGAATTAAGGGCTTAAGTCTAGTTTAGGGCCCCCTCCCGGATCGTTTTGAAATTTTTACCACATGTAATCCTTGGGGCCCTGATTGCAGCAATATACTTTTTTGGTATTTCCGGAGATATGGGCCTCCAAATTTCCGTTGGGACCCTTGTATTTTCACGTAATTTTTTAAAATTCACTAAGGCAATATGGGTATCATTTTAAAGAATATAGCTGATTACAAAAATTTAATATATATTAAATAAGTCCGACTTTTGAGATATGTAAATTTGTAAGTACCTTCCATGTTGTTATTGTGTAATATTGGTGAAGGCAATATGGATATCATTTTAAAGCTTATATATATTCGCGTAGCCGGTGTTGCATAGGAGAAATTTGGCATAGCGTACTGAATTAAGTCTAAAATGATGTGTGTTCAGTTTCGTGTAAATCGGTTCAAAATTCGATATAGCTGCCATATATATTGAATGCCAATTGACTACCACAACACTATTCCAATTAAACACTATTCCAATTAAATGGAGATTCTGTCGCGTAGCCGGTGTTGGCATCTGTCTATAGGAGAAAGTCTTATATCCCCGGCCGAAGGCCGGCTACCCACAAACACCATTCTAATTAAAAGGAGATTCTGTCGCGTAGCCGGTGTTGGCATCTGTCCATAGGAGAAGGTGTTAAATCCCCGGCTGAAGGCCGGCTACCCACAAACACTATACCGGTTTTGCCATTTGTCCATAGGACCTATATCTCAGGAAGTATGGACTTATTTGATATGAATATTATATTTTTGTAATCAGGGCTTTAAATGCTTTAAAATGATACCAATATTGCCTTAGTGAATTTCAAAAAAATTACAAGAAAATTCAAGGTTCCCAACGGAACTTTGAAGGCCTATATCTCCGGAAAGTATACTGCTGTAATCAGGGCCCCAAGGTCTACATGTGGTAAAAATTTTAAAACGATCCGGGAGGGGGCCCTAAACTAGACTTGTTCAGAATTAAGTCTAGAAAGATGTGTGTTAAATTTCGTAAAAATCGGTTCAGATTAAGATATAGCTCCCATATATATTTTCGCCCGATATTATGTACCTAAGTCCCTATATATCTTTCGATTTGCACGAAATTTGACACAGCGTACTGAATTAAGTCTAGGATGGCGTGTATTAAGTTTTGTGAAAATCGGTTCAGTTTTAGATATTGATCCCATATATATTTTCGTCCGATTTAATGTAAATGTAAATATTGTCGATGTAAAAATATTCGAAAAAAAAATCACATAAGGCCTCTGAAAATAATATTCTTTAACAGGCCCTCGTTATTTGGAATACTCGATTCCCCAGCGAGTGATTGAAAACTTCTCAGATAATAACCCACTTTTTTATTCTTTTCCAAAATTAGAAAAAAAAACACAACCTCTCCATATAGTATATTTTTAAAAAAATGGTATATTTTATTTGCCCTCTAATTAAATTTTGTGGCAATATCAAGTGAAATACATATGTTTTCTTTTTGTTTGTGTGTGTTTGTTTTTTTATGTATATAATAATGCTTAATTATCTATTTGGAAAAAAATACACAATAAAAGTAATCAAAAAAATTATCGCAATGTGATCGCATATTATAATATTACATGGTACTACATATATAGCAAATTTGTGTTTATATCGAATATCATATTATGGTTTTATAAATCGTTTTAAAACATTTTCGTTTTTGTAGGCATTTTTTTTGATAATTTTTTCAGTTTAGTTTTTTCTTTATTCCACAATATCTAAAATAGAAAAAAACTGTCTATTTAAGTTGGGGGTGGGTGTAGGATTTGTATAGGGGATTCAAAAATATCAACAAAGGCAAACTTAAATTAAATTTCCATACAATATTTAACAAAAAAAAAGTGCGGGGTGGGGGGAATTGATTTAACCTAAAACATCTACATATATTGTAAAAACATGGAACGTTCACAAGCCTCCTCCAACAATTCCTGTTTTCGTTTCATTTCTTCGGGTGTCAGTTCACGCACCAATTCATCGAATCCATCATCAAATGATTGCGGTGAACTATTATCCTCATCGCGTTGATCCGTTGCCGTCTCCAATAATGGTTCACCGATAATTTGTCGTATTTCGTTGGGTAAATTTTCAGCTTCTTTGATTTGATAATAAATCGCTTCGGCTGTTTTTAGCGTTTTCTGTAGATCGATGTTGCCCGACAGCTCATTGACATGCTTCAGGATTTCCGTAAATTGATATTTACTTTCAATAATAATGTCGGTCTCTTGATCGAGAATAGCTACCGATATGAGGATGTGAAAATTGGGACAGGGCAGTTTGGTCCATAAACATTCCCACAGCTTGAGAATATCCTCGTTGGAGAATTCACGTTTATACCAAACCAATAGCCAACGGAAACAGAAATACATATTATCGGAATCGTGACTCTTCATATATTTAAATAGTCGTGGATTGGCGAATTCCAAAAGGGTACGCAATTGATTGAATTGCGTTTTCATGCCTGCCTGATCGATATCGAAATTGGCGAATACCATATCCATGAAGCCAACAAAGCACCAAAATGCATCGACTTCGTTTTCCTGGAAGTGAGAGAAAAGAGATGAAAAAAATGGATTAGAAAATATGAATATTAAAAAAATATAGTTATAAAAATCTGTACTCCTGTAAAAAAAATTCTTGAAAAAAATCTTTAAGTAAGTTTTTAAACTCTGAAATAATATTCTTAAAAAATCCACGCCTAATGGAGACCCTTGAAAAAATATTCTTTAAAAATCCACGCCTAATGGAGACCCTTGAAAAAATATTCTTTAAAAATCCACGCCTAATGGAGACCCTTGAAAAAATATTCTTTAAAAATCCACGCCTAATGGAGACCCTTGAAAAAATATTCTTTAAAAATCCACGCCTAATGGAGACCCTTGAAAAAATATTCTTTAAAAATCCACGCCTAATGGAGACCCTTGAAAAAATATTCTTTAAAAATCCACGCCTAATGGAGACCCTTGAAAAAATATTCTTTAAAAATCCACGCCTAATGGAGACCCTTGAAAAAATATTCTTTAAAAATCCACGCCTAATGGAGACCCTTGAAAAAATATTCTTTAAAAATCCACGCCTAATGGAGACCCTTGAAAAAATATTCTTTAAAAAATCCACGCCAAATGGAGACCCATGAAAAAAAATCTTAAAAAAATCAACGCTTAATGGAGACCCATGAAAAATATTCTTTAAAAAATCCACGCCTAATGGAGACCCTTGAAAAAATATTCTTTAAAAAATCCAAGCCTAATGGAGACCCTTGAAAAAATATTCTTTAAAAAATCCACGACTTGTTTGGGTACCCTTGAAAAAATGTTCTTTAAAAAATCCAGTCCAAAATTCTTTTATAAAAAAATACGGCCTTTGGAAAAAATCTTGTATTATCCACAAAAAAAATTAAAAATTGACCTTTAAAACACCACCACATCAATCAAATTGGTAAATAAGCAAATAAAATTGATTATCTATTGTGCCAAAAATTCGGAAACTGATAAGAGAATCGAAAATGATTCACTACATATTTGTATTCAATTTTCTGATAATCATAAACATAAATATATTTTGCTGCAAAGCTTGTCTATCATAATATTTGAAAACTCCTACTTACCATAATCGCCAATATGGGTGCCAACAAATCGGACATACCCTGGACATAACCTAAATCAAAATTATATTTAACATAAGTCATAAGAATTCCCTGCAGCGTTGTTAGATTTGGATTATCTTCACCGGCGAAATATTCCAAGGAACGATCGGTACGTTTTACATCTTTTTCGATTTGGCACTTGCGATCACGATAACCTGAAAAGTTCGCCTCTTGTGTTGTGGTCATTGACAGCCATTGGGCTTTCATATTATAATATTCCATCGATTTCTCTTTGCGTCTTGCAATTTTCTCCACCTCCGAATCATTCCATTGATAATAATTGAGTAGGTATTTCCATACCTCAGGTCTGAGATTGGGTTCAATACCACCATGGAAAATGATTTCCAATACACGTTTCGAGTCCGACACACGTCCTTCGGGTGTCATAAACTCGAGCCATTGATTTTCGTTGAGAGGTCTGCCACGTTCTATTGTGCGTCTTTCTGGCAATGATGTTACAATTTTCTCATCGATTTCTTTGACATTTTCCAAACCACTAGAATCCATATCGGGCGATTTATCCAAACTGCTGCCTCTACTATGGGATCCCGATGTATTTGAGCTGTCAGCCAAACCCACCATATGATATTTATCGGATGGTGGTGATGATATTTGCCTTTCTTTGGCATCCAAGGAACCAGGTCGAACACGTGGTGGTGCTTTCTGTGACACATAATCGGGGATGTTGACCAAGAAGCCCACAACTTTATGGGGTAGCCAACTCTCATTACCCACACTGCTTGACTTGATCTCACCAATATCCAATTCAGCAAATGTTTTCTTTAGTTTTTGGGTTTCGGTGGTTAGAATAACATACTCCTCGCCACTTCGTGTCGAGGGTTGTATATCGATAATGTGTAATTGACGCATACTTCGTACAAACAGATCAGCATTGCCGTGTTGGAAAAAGAATTCCGAATGTAAGGTACCATCGCATTTGCGTAGGAAACGTATAGTTTGGCCACGATGTTTAACCTCCACACCCGACAAGTCTTCCAAGCAGGTGCGTATACATCTCGATTTCAGCGAACCTGTTGATGTCTCCATGGGCTTGGTGTTGAAAGCTTTACACTCGGAAATTGTTCGGGATCTTCGCGATATTGTATCAACCAATGCCCAATCTTCCTGGTCCTGGCTATCGTCAGCAATTAGGATATTTTCATTTGGTTTCCATTCAATGTACAGACGACGTGGTGGCCCATATTCAACCAATGACAATGAACCACTATTATTTAAATCGGCAATATGTTCGGCACTGGCCTTTTTCAGCAGAACACCATCATGCGTGCATAGTATCTAGAAAAAAGAAGCAAAACCAAAACAAAGTAGAACAAAGACAAGGCAAGTGAGTTCATATAATATACACCACATTCACAACACATATGGGCTTTTTTGTGAGGTTACTTACATTTCCTGTTCCCGCAAGGGAATCATCTGTGTTTGTGGTGCTGCTGGTGCCCGACATTGTTACCCCAGAGATTTGTGATGGTGATTCAGCTCCCAGGCTCTCATTGAGGACATTGAATTGCATATGTTCACAACTTTCTTCACGCTCAAAGCGTACAGAATTGATCATGTTTTATTCGACGCCTATTAAATCTGTCGTCTATACTTTTGTTGATCTTCGGTAAAATATCACTTTCGAATAATTTTCCAATTTGCAAAAATTTGTTGGGAAAAATCTACGTTGTTTTCGTTTACTTCGTCAGTGACGAACACAATTGCCTAAGCGAAATTAAAAACGTTCCAACTGCTACAAAGTGGGCAGAAGAAAAAAGCCCGATAAAGAAAGAACACAAAGGGAAAAAACTGAGAAAACGAAAAATTTATTGTTGAGAAAGAGACATGGCGAGAAACGCCGATTAGGGATACCGCAAGTCGGTGATAATAAAGTACTATGTTAATGGTTGGAATTTGCCTTCTTCAAATTAAAAACGTTCCAACAGGGATGACTATTGGTCTGTTCGCGTGGTTTTATATTTGTCGGGATCGGGATCGGTGTTGAGAGTTTCTCTCTCTTGAGAGAGTAATTAGAGTTGCGCTATTTTTAATTTTGTAACAAGCGTACTTTTTGTTCACAAAAGGTACGAATTGACATAAACGTACCAAAACAAAAATTATATATTTTATTATCCGTGGATACATTTACGCTTAAATTATAACATATATTATTTATGCAAATAACTGGTACAAGTATTGGCCAATATTTCTCGATAATTATGATTTATTATCATTTGAAGTAGATTTTTAGGTACCTTTTCGTACTTTTTTGTTCCTACCTGTGGCAATGTTTTCCAACACAATTCACAATTTACCACTGAGAGAGAGAGAGACTCTCAACACCGATCCCGATCCCGGCAAATATAAAACCACGCTTCCCGTACTGCAAGAATCTACTAAATTTTACAAATTTCTTCGATATCATAAAAGAAAAATTGTTATCGTAGTAAAAAAATAGATTCTTGTAGTACAGGAGACCACATATCGAAACAATGAGCTAAATTGAAAATGTTCCTCACCCAGTCAATTACTTCCATTCCAAAAAGCAAATTTTTCCATCTACATCGCAAATTTTCGCCAATGATATTTTTCACCATTCAAGAACACGGAGTACAAATGGTGTGTTCCCATTTTAAATTCAATTTATTTCATAAACGAGAGGGCCATGAGCTATTCCAAAAACTTTATTTTTCTTTATTTCTGATTGGAACTTGGAAGATTTGGCATCCCATCAAAACTATCACATTTTCTTAAAATTCCGAATAATGGTGGATATAGCTAGGGTACACAATATGGTGACTAATATCAATTATAAATCATGATCCTAATATTGATACTTTTTGGTATCGTGTTATTGAATTGATACAGACAGCGTGAAATTGCTGTTGTCATGCATTTTTAACATTCCCTTGACTAAATCCCAATAACATATCACATAGTATAAATAACCCTTTCATATTGCCTCTTCCCGATAACACGATGTTATCGATTGCAGCTGTCATTTAACTTCAACTGTTTTCATTTCGAGAAACGTCACAACAACTATTCACACGTGCGATTGAAGTTTATTTCTGCAAGGAAAATTTACAAAAAATACTTAAATAATACGGAAAATCGAAAAGAAACCGGTATATTTATTATTAAATATTCACCACAAAGACTCCGATATTTGTAAGTCACCAAAACAAACCGCGCAATGAGTGACAGTGAATCAGAGGAGCCCAAGCAAACAAATGAACCCATTGAAAATGCTTGGGCCATGAAAATACCAGCCTTTAAACCAGAGGATAATCCAAATGGATTGGTGGAGGAAAGCTCCTTTGCCACGCTATTCCCCAAATATCGTGAGAAGTATTTAAAAGAAGTATGGCCCTTGGTGCAACAAACTGTTGCTGAATATCATTTGAAAGCTGAGCTAGATTTAATTGAAGGCAGTATGGTGGTGAAGACAACACGTAAAACCTGGGATCCTTATATTATCATCAAGGCACGTGATATGATTAAGCTGATGGCACGTAGTGTACCCTTTGAACAGGCCAAGCGGGTGCTACAAGATGAGATTGGTTGTGACATCATTAAAATCGGCAACTTGGTGAGGAAAAAGGAAAAGTTTGTAAAGAGACGTCAACGTTTAATTGGTCCCAACGGAGCCACGCTAAAATCCATTGAACTTTTAACCGATTGTTATGTTTTGGTACAAGGCAACACAGTCTCAGCATTGGGTCCCTATAAGGGTTTACAGCAGGTTCGTGATATTGTCATCGATACCATGAATAATGTCCATCCCATTTACAACATTAAGGCCTTGATGATAAAACGGGAACTTATGAAAGATCCCAAATTAGCGAATGAGGATTGGTCTCGTTTCTTGCCCAAATTCAAGAACAAGAATATCAGCAAACGTAAACAACCCAAGGTTAAGAAACAAAAGAAGGAATACACACCATTCCCACCGGCACAACCTGAAAGTAAAATCGATAAACAATTGGCTTCGGGTGAATATTTCCTTAGCAAAGAACAGAAACAACAACGCAAGCAAGAAGAGCGCAATGCCAAACAATCCGAGGCAGCGAAGAAACAAGAAGAGAAACGTCAAAAAGATTTTATCCCGCCCACAGAAGATTCACCGGCAAGAAAACGTTCCGCCGATGGCGATGACAATAAGTTGGATGTTAAGGCGCTTAAAGCCAAGCTGGCCAAAGCCAATAAGAAGATGAAAAAGGCGTAGTAGAATTAAGCTTGTTTTCGTAACTTTTTTTAAATCGTAGTATATAAGTTTAATACATTTTTAATTAAATGTATTTTAGTTGAAAAAAAAAATAAATAAAATAGAGATTTTTACTTTTTGTGTAAAAGAATTGTAGTTGAGATAAGTTTTATTTTAAAGATAATAAAGGAAACCAAAACTATCAAATGTTATAGGCCACCAGAAGTTCTGTTTCATAGATAGAATGTTTCATATTTTAGAGATCAAGAGAATGGACTATTAGAAGGAAATATTTAGAGACGAGTTTAATTTGGTCTTTATAGACGGTATCAAATACTACCTTATTTGAACTTTTAAATATACTTGTAGAGTCATGCTTAATCGGCCAACAGATGCTACTACGATCAAAGTAAGCAGTTTAGAAACAATGCCACCTCTCGCCAGACCAAACTGAGATTCTATAAGACGATGTTGTATGGATCGGAAGCATGGGTACTTACGCAAGCAGATAAGGCATCTTTTGGATAGTTTCAGAGAAAAATTCTCCGGAAGATTTATGGGCTGATCTGCGTCGACGCTGAAATCGCCGTCGTATAAACCATGAGCTGTACCATCTATTCTCGGATATCAACATAGTCAGACGTATCGAGCTGCAGCGACTACGTTGGCTAGGTCATGTTGTGAGAATGGATGAGGATGATGCCCCAGCTCAAAAGGCATGTAGAAGGGAGCCAACTGATGGTCCACATAGTAAGGGAAGACCACGATAGATCTATGGGTCGATGTGCGTCAACGGGGAATATCGCCGTCGAATGAACCATGAGTTGTACCATCTATTTTCGGAGATCGACATAGTCTTATCGAGCTATCCGACTACGATTGAAGCTAGAATCTTGAAATTTTGGCTGAGGGTCACTTTATAAGGCTGGGTTTTTGGAAATTCGTACTAGAACGGTACGACAAATATTAAAAAGTACTAAATGTGTATCTGTGTGTGTATTAAATTATAAATGATAGTCACTGATGGATTGTAGAATAGATATAGCAAAGTGTTTTTTGGACATTCGTACTATAAGTATGTGAAAAGTACTAAAATGTACTAAATTTGGTACAATTTCGTAGCATGTGGATGGACAGAGGAAAAATCTTGAAATTTGGAATGCGAATTAAGGTTGAGAAGTATGGTCGATATAAGGAGGTGGTTTTGAAATCGTGTACTCATGTATACGAAAAATACTATATGGTACTATATTTGGTACAATTTTTAATTGGAGGTACAAATGGAGCTGGAATCCTGAAATTTAAAATTAACATTACCGCCGGAAAGTAGGATTAGAATATGTACGTAGTTATGTACATATTCTAATCCTGTGTATGAATCGTACTATAATTGGTACAATTTGGATTTGGTTGAACCAATAGATCGAGGATCCTGAAATTTGGAGTTAGGATAATTATTGGGGTGTAGGATTATGGTATGTAGAGAATTTTGAAAATTCGTACTATGGTACCAAATTTCGATGTTGGTGAATCGATAGAGCTGGAATCTTGACATTTGTAGTAAGAACCATTATTGGGGTAGAATTGAGCTATTTAGCAGGTTTGGGAATTCTTACTAATGTGAACTATATTTGGGTAATTTAAATTTTGAGTGAACCGATGTATGAAGTTTGGGAAATATGTACCAAATGTGGATTTGGGTGAACCGATTGCTCGAATTTTTAAATTTGACATTTGGATCACTGATGGAAATAGGATTTGGAGTTAAGATCTCTGTTGGGATGTTGGATTGAGCTTTGGAGAACGTATTGGAAATTCGTACTAATGTGCACTAAATGGCACCAAATTTGGATTTGGGTGACCTGATAGAGCTGGCATCTGAAATTTGATATTAGGATCACTGTTGGGACGTAGGATTGGTCGTTGTAGGAAATTTGTACTAATGTGTACCAAATTGTGTACAATTTAAATTCTCGGTGAACCAATACAGCTGGAATCCTGGCATTTGGAGTTAGAGCTACTGTTGGGTTGTAGGATTGCGCTGTGTAGAAAATTTTGTAAAATCGTACTAATGTCCACTAAATGGTACAAATTTCGATGGTATCATTTAGAGAACCGATGGAGCTGGAATCTTGGCATGTGGAGTTAGGATCAATGTTGTGTTGGATTGGGATGGTTTGAAAATGTTTACTAAATGACACTAAAATTGGTACAATTTGGATTAAAAAATTGATACAAATTGGATTTTGGTGAACCGAAAGAATCCTGAAATTTGGAATTACGATTGGGGTATGTGGGAAGTTTTGGAAATTTCTATTTATGATTGTTAAAGTAGGTAGCTATGGAAATTAAGTAGTATAAAGGGTAAAAAATTACACCAAATTTAGTATAGAGCTAGATTTATGCTGTTGTCAGGATTGGTATGTAGGGTTGAGATATGGAGGTAGTTTTGGAAAAATGTATTATACGAGAGCATTGGTACTAAATAGTTCTAAAATGTTAATAATGGTCGGTATTGGGTTTTAAATTCTTTCCACACTCGCTAACGAAGTAGCGGGTACAGCATAAATGAAATGCTAGTACAGAATAAATGAACAAGAAAAAATGTCGCAATGTTTAACAAAATTTCAATCAAATCCCAAAGTTTATTTATTACAAAAGGAAGAATTTTTTTGAGTCTTTAAAATTATTGGCCTTTTTTATACCCTTCACCACACTGTGGTACAGGGTATTATGTCTTTGTGCATATGTTTGTAACAGGCAAAAGGAAACGAGATAGACACATGGTTCCTTTTGAGAATATGCATAGAATCACTTTCTAAGTCGATTTATGCATGTCCGTCCATCCGTCTGTCTGTCGATGTTAAATTGTCATAGGTCACTTATCCGGCCCAAGGACGAACCCTATTGAAATTGGGAAAAATCGGTTCAAATTTAGATATAGCTCCCATATATATATATATATATTTGTCCGATTTTATGTAAATGATGCACCCCTATATATCTTTCGATTTGCACGAAATTTGTTACAGCCTAATGATTTAGGTCTAGAATGGGGTGTGTTAAATTTCGTGAAAATCGTTTCAGATTTAGATACAGCTCCCATATATATTTTCGTCCGATTTAATGTAAATGGTGCACCAATGTACCTATTTATCTTTCGATTTGCACGAAATTTGGCATAGCATACTAAATTAAGTCTAGAGTGATGTGTGTTAAATTTCGTGAAAATCTGTTAAGATTTAGATATAGCTCCCATATATTTTCATCCGATTTAATGTAAATGGTGCACCGAAGTCCCCATGTATCCTTCGATTTACACGAAATTGGGCATAGCGTACTGAATTAAGTCTAAAGTTATGTATGTTGCGTTTCGTGAAAATTGGTTCAGATTTAGATATAGCACCCATATATATTTTCGCCCGATTTTATGTAGATGGTGCACCAAAGTCCCTATATATCCTTAGATTTGCGCGTAATTCGGCATAGTGTAATGAATTGAGTCTAGAGTGATGTGTGTTAAGTTTCGTTAAAATCGCTTCAGATTTAGATATAGCTCCCATATATATTTTCGTCCGATTTTATGTAGATGGTGCACCAAGTCCCTATATAACTTTCGATTTGCATGAAATTTAGCATAGCGTACTGAATTGAGTCTAGAATGATGAGTAGTGAATTTCGGGAAAATCGGTTCAGATTTCGATATAGCTCACATATATATTTTCGTCCGATTTCATGTAAATAGTGAACCTAAGTCCCTTTATATTCTTCGATTTGCACGAAATTTAGCATGGCGTACTAAATTAAGTGTAGAACGATTTATGTTAAATTTCCGGAAAATCGGTTCAGATTTCGATATAGCTCCCACATATATTTTCGTCCGATTTTACATAAATGGTTCACCAATTTCCTAATGTTTGTCCGATTAACGCGAAATTTTGCACAGCGTATTAAATTGAAACTTGAATGACGTTATTGCGTTTTGTTGAAATTGGTGCAGATACAGCCATAGCTTCCATATTTATTTCGAACGAGTGTCTGATTGAGTATTTATGGAAGCCGGCCCTGTTTGGTTGCAATCTCAACAGCATTATGATATCCTTCAAATGTCAAATAAATAAATATTTAATTGGAATTATTATATACAAAAAAGGCAACAATAAGTTCTCATCAAATTATAGGCAATAATTTTACACCAAATATACCAAATACTTGGAAACAAAATGATTTAAATCATTAATTTTCAAATCCCATTTGGAATATATATTTTTAAATACAAAAAGAAAAGGAAACATAAACCACTACAAGGTTTCGCCCAAAAGCTGAAGAGATGTCTTAACAAACTAAATTGTCCATGACATAAAGATGTTGGAATTGTTAATGAAAACAAAGTCATCGACTTTGGTTGTGGCAGGGCAGATTATGAATAGTCCACAAGGAACCGTAGGTACCACAAGAAATGACCTTAAATGCGTTTTTAATTTCATTTTTCTCACTTAAATTTTAATAACATAATTTGTATCAATTTATTTTCCTTAATCTTTTGCTCGTTTTTTGTTTTTTCTGGTGCCCTGCAGTAAACGAATTGAATGAGTTTTGGCTGAGCAATAAGAGAAAATGCAGCAGGACGGTCGGCCAATGACATTAAGAAAAGAACAAGGAAGGTATTACAGTCGAAATCCATATCGAAACTAAAAACCTTAACATTGTTTCATAAGCCGTTGATTGTTCTCTCCTGCTCGGCGGAGTGAATAAGCGATTATTACGGCTGGGTCCAGGCGGCGTGTGTGGGTATTAAGGAACGGTTCCCTTATGCTGGAACTGTGAATTCTTGTGTTGTTTTGTTGTTGCTGCGGTATACAATTAAATATCATTCATATTTATTCGATTTCCAGCCTCTCTAACAAATACCGAATGTTGTTGGCGCTGTTGTTTTCTTACACCAATTGGTTGCACTACTACAGCACTGATAGGACAACCAACCAATTCTGCAGGATGGAGTATGATGTTGCTGGTCATGATGCTGCT